GATACTTATAAACCAGAGTGCTTTAGTTCAAATATCCCCAAATACCGCCCCTAGTTTTTTTTTTTTTTTTTATATATTTTTTAATACGCCTTAGCCCCTAACACTACCCCACACCTTCCATCATCCATACTCTACAATTCTGATGTTCGCCCACTGCAATTGATGAACAACACTCTTTCTTACATCCGTCTCTCTCTCTCTCTCTCTCTCTCTCTCTCTCTCTCTCTCTCTCTCTCTCTCTCTCTCTCCCTCTCTCACTCATTCACTCACTATCTTCTGCCTTCTATACCCAATGCTACATAGGCCCTCAACAAGCACACGACATGTCGTTCTATCTTTCGCTATTGCATGCAGCTCTCCCAATGTCCTCAACATCTTTTTAACTTCCCTCTCTAGTTCCTTTCTCCGTGTGTGTGTGTGTGCGTGCGTGCGTGCGTGCGTGCGTGCGTGTGTGTGTGTGTGTGTGTGTGTGTGTGTGTGTGTTGGTCTTCCTTTAAATCTATACCGATGTGGGTTCCAGTGCAAAGATTTTCTAGTTATATTTTCTCATGTATTCTCTACGTATGTCCTATCCAACGCCAGCGTCTTTACTTCACCTGTTGGTCCACTGGAACTTGTTTAATACTCTCCAAAAGCTCAACATTAGTGATTCTATCATACCAATTAATTCTCTCTGTTCTGTGCAGGCACCACTTAATGAATGTCTATAGTTTGTTATTAATAACTGCCTTATTGTTCTCTTTGTTTCCGCTCCATACAACAGTACTGTTTTCACATTAGAATTATGAATTTTAAGTTTAATATTACTTTTAATTAATTTATTTTTTCTTCTTTTCACCTTTACTAATTTCCTAGTGCTGTGAAAGTTTCTCTTGCCTTTTGTATTCGTATTTCAACACCTCTATCAGTTCCCCCTTGTTTATCTATAGTACTGCCCAAATAGATGATAACACGGGTATATACGCGTTAAACTATACACACAACGAAGACGTGCACATTTTAAAACAGCTTTCGAATTCCGAAAAATATCTTCTGTCCTTCTGTTCGAGTCTACATTCCTGTCTATGCCAGCAAATGAAATCAATTATTCAAAATAACACCGAATGATTTATTTTGAAAGCAGACACTGTTTGTACTGAGGATGAAATTTTGTTTTGTACCTCAACAGACCTGATGAATTTATTTGACGACATCAAGAGAGAGAGAGAGAGAGAGAGAGAGAGAGAGAGAGAGAGAGAGAGAGAGGGGGGAGGGAGAGAAAGGAGCGGGGTGCTTTCGGTAAAGAAAGGATTTCCCGGCTCTCTAGCGGAATTGGCTAAACCGGATTTCGCGGAGACCGGGTGACGTACTCCTTGTGGTCCGGGTTCAATCCCGGGGGTAGGCAGGAAAGCCACATTTTCTCCCAGATTTACGGTATTTACAATGGAATCAAGGCCGAAAGGTTGCGATATCCATAATACCGAGCCTAAGGGTTAACAACTCATAGCTTCTGGATACTAAAACAAACAAAGAAAGGATTTCATTTCGAGAAGTCGGCGAGCAGGAATGTCAGTGCAACGGTGTTTGCTCTTAAAGCGACAGCCGTTATCGTTAAAATGACGTCAGGCTGTGTGCTCATTTCTGTAATTGAATATGTTGAGATGTAGGCAAATAGAAATAGAATATATTTTCATATGAGGGGTATATCAGTGAGTATGTATCCGCACAGGGAGTCGCCGTGGTCGAGCGGCTAGACGCTCGTCGCGGATCGGAAGGTCGTGGGTTCGCTCCCTGATGGAGACTTTTTTTCAAAAATGACCTTGGCTCACAGGTCGACCCAGCCTTGAGTGGGCACCGGGTGCAGTCCCCGGAAAGTAAAGGCGGCCGGCGTGATGCTGACCACATCACCTATCTTGTGCCGATTGGTCTATAAGAATATAGGTCTAGCCCTATATGCCCTATACGCCTAAAGGCGTGGAAAAGGATCCTTTACTTTACTTACTTTTATGTATCCACACACATTCATCCATCCATCCTGGATGCTATGTGGTGCTAGTATGTAACATTTTACGTAGCTGCACTCGGAATACTTGTCCACGCCTGCAGGTATATTTGTCAAATAGTAAGTAAAGTTACAAAAAAAAATTTTTAAATAGTAAAGGACCTATTTCCAGCCTTGAGGAGCATGGGGCATATAGGGCTAGGCCTATATTTTTAGACCGATCGGCACTCGATGGGCGATGTGGTCAACATCACATCAACCGCCTTTACTTTCCAGTACTTTACCTGGTAACCATCTGAGGCATGGGAGCCAATGTCCGTTTTTGAAGAAGAAAGAAGGTCAAGCGCGGGATTCGAAGCCACGACCTTCGAATCAGTAGTCGAGTGTCTAGACGTAGCCACAGCTACGAATTAGAATAGTAGCTTTCATGTTTGCCTACCGGCCTAGTGGTCTTAAGTTCAAATCCTCCAATGAGTTTTTAAATTTTTAAAATCCAACATATCAAGTCAGTGGACCAAGCCTTACAGGGGTACCAGGAATATTATGTTAGGCAGTGATTCCCAAACTGTACGCCGCTGGGGACAGGGGAGCCGCGACCTCTTCACAGGGCCGCTGCGAAATATTCGAAGATACACGAGTTAATCTCTTTCTTAAACACGAGTAGTCATACTAACACTAGGTTAGGGCGCCGTGGAAATATTTTTTGCGGAAAAAAAAAGGCTCTGTGACAAAGAACAGTTTGGGAAACACTGCTGTAAAGTAAAAGCTGGTGGTTTTAATGGTTAAATCATCCACGAAGTGCCTATTGGTTAATAAAATGTTAGGCAAGCTCCAAATATCAGATGTGCCTTAGCGAGTGGAATGGATCTGTTAATTTCCACTAAATGTAGGCCTTCTTCTTCTTCTTCTTCCGTTCCTTGTTCACCGGCGGTGAATTCCGGAGGAAAGTCCTGGTTGTTCGTCCATTTGGACTTTTGGCTTTTACCTAGACCTGAGTTTTGCGTGTACATCCGTTTTACTAGCTTATTTGTTTGCAGTTCTCGTTACCTGCCTCTTTGGCAGATGTACTCCGACTTTGAGGGACAATGTAGGGATTAAAAAGCTGTTAATGGCGAAATCTCAAGTGAGTGGATTACAAGAAAATATATATCAGGAAAAGATACGGAAAACAGTAATCAAGTTTAGGAAATTCTCTTCTGTACAATCTGGTAGAAAGTTGTGATTGTTCATCCACTCCTTGACTTTGGCCTTGATCCTGAGCTTCAGTTTTACGTGCACATCCGATTGACAGATCTTGCTTATGGTATGCAGACTATTGGTTTCTTGCTTTTCAGGCAGATGCACTATGACTTCGATGGAAACACTACTAATCAGTCGTCCCATACGGCATGCTTGTAAGGGGAGGTGGGTTCATTCTTTGCTCGCCAAAATGAAGCTCCAGAACTCACACGAAGAAAGAGAGTATTTAAGCAAGAACACTCAATTATTCCATAGTCACATACAGCTTAGTCTCTCTCCACAAAGCGGCTGGTCGCTCACAAAGCACGCATTTCGTTTCTCCAGCAACAACCTCCTAGAATCTACGAGCATCTACATTTGCAAGGGAGCCGCTGTGGTTTAGCAGCTAAACCCTCGCCTGCGGATCCAGAGTTCGTGGGTTTAAATCTGAAATAACTTTGGCTATCACATCGCCCAGCCTTAATTGAACACAATGTACAGTCATAGGAAGCAAATGCAGGCCTCCAGCACGATGTTGCACACACCACCTTCCAAGTGCCTATTGGTCAATCAAATATAAGGTCTTGCTCTATATGCCCAGTACACCTTAATGTTTTAAGAAGGTCCTTTTTTGACGTTACCTGCACTCACATACCGAAGAACTCCATTCATAAACCGAAGACCTCCTGCGCTCACAAACCGAAGAACTCCTCCACTCACAAACCGAAGAACTTCTCCACTCACATACCGAAGAACTTCTCCACTCACAAACCGAAGAACTCCTCCACTCACATGCCGAAGAACTCCTCCACTCAAAAACCGAAGAACTCCTCCACCACAAACCGAAGAACTCCTGCACTCACATACCAAAGAGCTCCTTCACTCACATACCGAAGAACTCCTACACTCACAACCAAAGACCTCCTGCACTCACAAACCAAAGACCTCCTGCACTTACAACCAAAGACCTCCTACACTCACAAACCAAAGAACTCCTGCACTTACATACCAAAGAACTTCGACACTCACAAACCGAAGAACTCCTGCACTCACAAATCAAAGAACAGACTACTAGACTAATTACAGTTTTTCCTCAACAAAATGACTGCGATATTGCGCCTTCTGGACGACTGGTCCGTCTTCTTCTGGCATTTGTTGACCGGGTTAGTCTTCCTGAAGATCACCCTCACACAATCACCTAAATTAACGACCAGTTTAGTATTCCTGCTCCGACTTCTAAGGAAACACGGTAAATGTAACGTTAGTCTCCCCAGACCCTACCCATATACACACTAGCTCACTTCTGATTGGTAGTTCCTAAGCACCGTGCCTTTGCACAAGGTTACGGGAGTGTTTCGCAATGCCGTTGATTTTGCCTGTTGTATACTCCAGCACGCCAGCGTTTTTAACACTCCAAAAACATGGAGAAACTGGCTCTAACATAGCCCCCTAGAGAGTGCTGCAACCTATGTCACAGGCATTCTTTTTCTCAGAATGACAACGTAAATGCAAGACATCACAGAAACCAAACAGGCCTCTCATTTTTAGTACCCACATAATTGATGTCTGTCAGACTGAACATGTCGATGTGATGAAGTTGATTATGGATGTCTGGCTTATTGTGTCAAATAAATGTTTGAAAATTTCAAAAATAAAAAAAGAGCGGGACACACCCGTAACCTTCAGGAAATTCGACCAGCCCAACAAACTTGAAAAGTGACCTACTCTTTTTGGGAAGACTAACTTGAACCTGACCCGAAATGCTTATAAGGACTGAAACAACAACAGACACAAATCTTACCAGCCAAGCAAAGTCAAAGGGGAGTTGTATCAGGGTATCCGGACTGTTCAAAGGATACTTAAACTCGTTCTCGCCGAGAACATCGGTTGTGTAGTTACCAAAAGTGCAGTATCCGTCCATGGTGACGCGATCCATGAACTCCTTTAGACACACCCTGACGAAGGTTTCACAGGGATCCTTGCACCCATCTGGGGTCACCAAGCCCTCGTCACAACAGTTCCCGGAAGCTGTCTCCCCGCGGATGTTTCGCACGCTTTCAATCTGAACATGAAAATTGGATAGCACATGATAGAAATATGACAGAATATGTGAACAATTATAGACAATTATTGAAATTTGAAAGAAAATGACAGGAAATCCTAAACATTTGACAGAAAATTGCAATAATTTGTAAGAAAATTACAGAAAGTGAGACAAATTTCACAGATAGTAACATATATTTTATGGAATTTGAAGGAAAATGAATACGAGGGTATATAAATTGGAAGAAAATGAAATACCTTTATTACAAATGGGTTTTGTCTAAATAAATTAAAATGTAAATGTTTCTCTGTTAGTGGTAGCTAATCTCCAAAAGTTCTGCACTGATTAGTTCCAAATTTTGACAAGACGCTGCATTCGAATGTGCGCGTGTTTTTAAATAACAAATGTCCCACAAAACACGAACTATATAGCACCAGCGACGATCTCATCAGCATTTGGTTTTATTTTCAGATGATAAGATTTCTTTTTAGTTGCTGCGTTTCTGAACTTTTCTGACTGCTGATCTCAGAAATGTGCATAAAGCTGTATGATATAAATTATTTCGAAGAGTTGATGAAAGATTGGAAATGTTAAGATGTGGGAATTAAAAACAAGTTGGCATTTGTGCAGTGTTTGGCACGTTGATGGTTGTAAACATATTGTTATTTGTGAACCACGCTGATTTTATGTTAAGTGAAATAAAGATATGTCCATGTGACGCTTATGTTCATTTGCTTGATTCAAGATAGAACTCTTTTTTGCAAGTGGTTTGCCGAGGTGAATCTAATCATGTAGTTAGGTTGTAGTCATGTAACTCACCATACAGAAATTCATTGTCTGGGTCCTAATGGAATATTCTAGGATCCCTGCGCAAAAGAAAACTTGTCTTTTCTTTACTTTATTGTTTTTGGTGTTCAGCGGGAAACTATTACATTTTGTCCCAATCGAAATTTTCCTCCTTATCTCTCTTACTTTCGTATATTTTACTTTGCTGTCTTCCCGCTAACACAGTAGTAAATTTCACTTTGAGCTCTTTAAAGAATACAAAAAGCTTTAGCATGTGATAAACAAAACAAAAACTATTTTTTAAAGTCCTAATAGTACACTTTAAACGACCACTAATATAAGGAAACAATTTTATGTTGCATGTTCTAGAGTCGTCACACCAGACTATCTGCGCAGACAATTATTGTAAAATAAACCATATTAGACGTGTGCGCTTTCTATTTAATTTCCTTTCCAGTTAGCCAGACTGGGCCACAGCAACGCGTGGCCGGGTACAGCTAGTTTTGATATAAATTTATTGAAATTTGATTTAAAAGGTAAATTGTATGCAAAGGGCAGACATTTGATATACAATGAAATTAATTTAATATAAAAGGAGTTAACAAGAAAAAAAAACCGAAAGAAATGTAATACTAAAGACAAACAAGAAATGTGATACAAAACGGGGAAAAGGGGGGAGGGGGGGGGGAGACGACGGGTTACAAGTTGACAGGCCTAAGTTATAAATTAACACTGGGCGGCAGAGTAAAAAATAAACAAACACATAAAAGACATTTAGAGTTAGACCAAAAGACCAACAACCAGCAAACGAACAGGACAAGGCAGACAAATATGACGACAATTGGACACAGTCCAAACAAACAACAGGGACAACAGACAAGCAAGGACAGTGACAAAATAAAGCTGATACATAGACAAGAAAAAAAAAGTAACAAATGGTCAAATTTTGACTTAGTGAAATAATTAAACTAATTAGAAGAAAAGAGGAACTTTATTTTTTAATTCACCCTAAACAAAGGAAATTCAGAAATTCCCAGAGAAGTCTAATATTTTAGGAGGTGTTATGGTTTGGGATTAGAATAAGAAAATTTGTCAGCCCCGATCTCCTCAGATACATCGACTAACCCTTACTCTGATTGATTGATGATTGATTTGATTGATTGACTAGCACCTTTCCGTCTTTCCAGGCGATAGTGTAATCAGTCAACGATCAAAATCGACGAAGTTCCTCCTTTCCATAGCACAAAGCTTGGACAGCATTGTAGAGTCCATATGTCGCCCATGCATAATGATCCTAATCTCGATCTGCCTTGTTTACTCCAAAGGAAAGGTAAAACCAGTATGTTTGGAACAAGGCAGGCTGCAGAAGCTGCCTGATCAGAAGAGCAGTGCTCTATCTCTCCACCTGTCGGAGCTTCCCTTCTAGACCAGCTGCCAGTCAAGGCTAGGGGCCTGGTCTGCCCTGCCATAACATAAAGTTTTTAAGTTGCATGTCCTCTTTCTAGGATAAGGCTAGTATCTTCCCCAATGCGCTCCTCTGCCCGAAGTCGTTGGCAAAATATGGGATGTTGGGTTAGTATACGCCACCCAACATTCGGCGTAACAGAAGACAGGTACTACCTGTGCTCGCCCTATCTCTAACCCTAGCCATAACTCTAACTTTAACCCAAAGCCCTAACCACAGCCAATACACCCCTAGAATATTGAACTTACCTGCGATCGCTAGGATTCCGCGTGTTTGAGTGAACTGAAGAAAAGTACCGAAAAAGAAACATTAAGATGTCTCCACGAAGAAAGTTAACTGTAAATGAATCTACTGCTGCCTAAGGAAATGTATTACCTGGGAGACCAATATCTCTTCCATGGTGTGACTCTCATACCAGGGTCTAAAGTTCTTTATTTTCCTCATCAGCCCACCATGGGAATCGAACCATGGCAACCGTCAAAGACTGCACTGTGAAACGATTCCACAAGCCTCCATATCACAGAGCTCCACACAAAAAATTAGTACAAAGTGAAATACAGGCTCAGAGTGCCAGCTATGTAACTACCCCTACGAAACTGTTGACCGCCATCTCTTTGAGTGCTCAAGACTCAGAGAGACAAGAAGAATGCTACTCCCTCCGAGACCAGACAAGTGGAACACCTCGTACGGAGGAAAAGAACAGCTTGTGAGAATATGCAAATTCCACTACATGGCATTGGGACAAAGGGCGAAAGCTCATGCGCCGCTGGATCAATAACAACAAAATACAGGACCTCTTCCCACGGCTACATACGCATTGGGCATACAGGGCTAGACCTATATTTTTGGGAGACCAATCTGAACTCGGTGGGTGTGATCGACATTACGCCGGCCATCTTAAATTCTCGTGACTTTATCTGGTACCCATTTAAGGCTGAGTCGACCTGAGAGCCAAGGTCATTTCTGAAAAAAAAGTCCGACTCCATTAGCACCTGAATCCACGACCGTCGCATCCACAAACAAGCGTCTAACCATTAGACCATGCCGGCTTCCGAAACAAATTAGAGGGACAAATAAAGACAGAGATACAGACAGACACATAAACAGAACAGAAGACAACGAAATCACTTACCTGAAGCTGAAACACACCAGACGCCTTTGTCTGGGGCACTGCCATCATCAACAGCAGCAACAGACGAAGGAAGAACTTCAGCAGCCGGCAATCAATTTGCAGACGACACATAGTTCACCAAGGCACCTCTAGGGCGAGGTTTTCGGCTCGGTGAAAATCTCTTTCGGTCATGCAGACTCCAGCAATTTGTATCGCATGCTCTATGCCCAAAGTTGGCGGTACAGATTCTCAAACGTATCACCAAGTGGACACAGGGACACATTCCTACGGCAAGCCAGCCTGTGATAACATAATTTATAAAATAAATAACAGGATCATCATCATCAGGAATTTCAGATTTCGTCTGTAAGCGTCAGGAGAAGGGACAGTTTAGGATTCTTGATGGGTAGTAATGGCTATTGCTATTCTATGTCGATAAGGAAGGTCTTTAATGTCAACAGTCCATACTTTTGCGGGGGACCTCTTGCTTTTAGATCAAATCTGTTCCTTCGTTGTTCCTGTTTTGGTGGTTTTTATGACTGCATTCAAACAAGATAACCAAATTATTTGATCCTCTATTTCACAATGAATATTGTTTATAATTGAAATGCAGACTAAAATATTATTTGACCAGTTGTTGTTGTTGTTGTTGTTATCGATCCAGCGGCGCATGAGCTTTCGCCCTTTGGCCCAATGCCATGTAGTGGAATTTGCATGTTTTCACAAGCTGTTCTTTTCCTCCGTACAAAGTGTTCCACTTGTCTGGTCTCGGAGGGAGTAGCGTTCTTCTTGTCTCACTGAGTTTTGGGCACTCAAAGAGATGGTGTTCAACAGTTTCGTAGGGGTAGTTACATAGCTGGCACTCTGGGGAGTGTTGTGGCTGTATTCTGTTTAGGTGTCCATTGAGTGGAGTATGTCGCGTTCTAAGTCTGAAGATGGTGGCCTGGTCCCTTCTTGTTTGACCAGTAAGCTAACTGTAACTTTTTTGTTGATGAAATCAAGTTGTTACTTTGTTTTTCTGAATCTCCTGCCGCCTCCTCCAGGTTGTCCCCGTCTGTGCCTCTTATTCCATTCGCATGATGTTTAGGTGTCCTATCTCTTTTGTCTTTTTTATTCCAGTGCAAGGGCATTCTTCCTATATTGTTATTGTGTTTTCATAATGCGTGCCTTATTCAGCGCACATAAGTATCAGGTATTTTATATCATTATGCCTATTCATCTCGTCATCCCCTTGTGGGATGCAGTTTTTAGTTAGTTTGAAGCCCCACACTGGCTTTTGCCGTGGGCCCTAAATATAGCCGGGCCTACAAGCTAAACGGGATTTTCTGGACCCCTCCACGGGTGATCCTCATCCGCTTGGTGGCACTTTGGGTCACCGGGTGTTTATCTATTGTGCTATGTCCTGGTGGGGTACAATTATCTACCTTACCTATAATTATGTCGTTTATAATATTTTGTTTCATTTTGTTGCATAACACTTGGATACCGTAATTTGGTCATTTCAAGTCAGTTTACTGTTGTGTTTTGTTTTGACATCCTTTTGCTAATGAAAGCTAATTGCCACAAGGTCATTTGTTTGTTTTCTGTAATTGAGCCCTTTAAGCCGCTCGTCTGCTCCCACCCCACACCCAGAAATTGTGCAAGCGAGTTTAGCCCTCCCCTCCCTCCCCCCAACCCCGAAATGGGATGACAAGGACATTAGCCCACAGTCCTCGCCTTATTGATAGAAAATCTCCGTTTACGCATTTATGTATATATTCCACTGATTATTTCAAATATATACTAATTGTATTTGCCACTGAGCAAATCGTTATTTTTATTATCACTTTTATTATTATTATTATTATTATTATCCTGGTCCTGGGTTCCCTGGTCCAATTTTTTAAGGGGGGGGGGGGGAGAATGCACCCACTGCCCCGCCAAAAAGCATGTCCTAGGGGACGACTAATTAGGGATGTTTCCTTCGAAGTCAAGAGTTTTGGAATAAGTTCAAAGTCGAGAAATGAACCAACAACTAGAATTTTCAGCTGAAGTTTAAAGTCGTTGAATGCAAAGAAAACAAATAAAGACATCATTGCAGATATAGATAATATATATCAAGCAAACGAAAGAAGAAGAATAAGAAGCCAAGAAAACGACGAAGATTATTATTATTATTATTGTCTTTTTGAAACAGAGCTATTGGGCCCCTAATTCTTTCTTTGTGTGAGAGATGTAAATAGAACCCAGTTTACTAAGAGTTTGCTACCGATGAAGAAACTGCTACACTGAAACCCTTCACATCGTCTTACCGCCATTTCTCTGCACAATTACAATCTACCACAGTTATTTACCAATGGACCAGTCGAACATACGACACAGCCTTCGCGAGCATGCCGTGTCATCACGCGCTAGCACACTTTATGATTAATTCATTCACAAAATTATATTAATATATGAATAACTGGCGAACTCTACCAACCAGCAACATCTAATATGGGTCATTGGGAATATAGGTCAACAGGAAACTGCGTTATGCTCGCTGGTATCAACGGCTGCAGAATCAAGGTTCATTGAATTTGTCAGATTAAATCACGCATGTTTAAGACTGAGGTACAGGAAACGCCTTCGCGCTTTTTCTCTCTCGATAAACACCAGTTTACTCGTGTATCATTGGCACCTTCCAGTCTTTCCAGACAATAGTGTTATATTGCACTGTGAGGAGGCATGGGACTCACTGCTCATGGCGATTGCGAGTGTGACTAGCAAGACTTAGTGCGTTAAGAAAAAAGTCTTCCACAGTTATAGCACGGGATTTCAGGACCGCTGTCAGGATATGTGCTTAGTCTGATTCTTCTCAGATACTCAGCTCTGATACTTTCTGCAATTATTTCTTCCTTCATTCTCGCTCCATTACCTTTGCCCCCCCCCCCACCCCCCACCCCCCCACACACACACACACACACACAAAATACAGTCCGTGGCATTTTGTTCCCACGAGTCTACCTTAACACTTTTATCATTCATGTTCCACTTACACACATCCTTATATCGTAGAGGTCGGCCTCGACATCTTATACCCGTCTTTAATTCAGCATAGAGGATGTCCTTAGGGACTCTTCCATCCTCATTCTCCAGGTGTGACCCAGCCACAAGAGCCTTCCTAGACAGGGCATTTAGAAAACTGTTTAATACCTGCTCTTTCCAAGCGGCTCAGTAATGTGGAATATTAGCATCCATTATTTTCAGACGACAGTATCGATGAAGTTCAGTATAAAAGTATCTCTCTATTTATATATATATATATATATATATATATATATATATATATATATATATATATATATATATATATATATATGGGAACACGGATAACATCAAATGGAAGATGCATAACTGAGATAAGAAACGGAATAGGACAGGCAAAAACTGCATTTTATAAAATGAAGAACATCTTCTGCAATATATCCTTGTCATATAGAGTTAGAAAAAGAATTCTTGCTTGCTACATACATCCAGTTTTAACATATGGCTGTGAATCCTGGACAATCGGTAGGCAGACCAAACAATTTCTCGAGGCCTCAGAGATGTGGTTTTACTGAAGAATACTTAGAATTCCTTGGACAGCCAAATAGAGCAACCAAGAGGTTTTGAATGAGGCGGGAGCCGGGAGACAACTTGTCACAGACATAAGAAGGAGACAGTCATCATTTTTCGGCCATGTTATGAGAAGAGGGAAAATAGAACATGTTGTGACCACTGGAAAGATCTGTGGAAGGAGGGATAGAGGAAGACAACGAGAGAAGATGCTTGACAGTCTTGCTGCATCGCACGGAGGTGTGTCGGCACACATGATACATGCTGCAGGAGATCGCAGATTATGGAAAGGCATGATCGCCCACGCCAGTCGGCAAGGCACCTGAGGGTATATATATATATATATATATATATATATATATATATATATATATATATATATATATATATATATATATATATATATATCTTCCACCTTGTACCTCAGCGAGGTGTCTGGGGGAGATGTAACATTCGCTGATGAGCTCTGTCAAGAGCACTATTAAGACTGAAGTTTACTTCTGTAAGGGTGTTCTTGATGCCATCACTCCATTTTTCCCGAGGTCTTCCACTCGCTCTATACCCGTTGTAACGTTTCAGTGTGGATTGCTGTAGCAGATAGTACCAGGGCATTCTAGTCAGGTGTTCATATCACTTCATTTGTTGTTCTCCGATGACTTGTAAGACTGGCTTTATTCCTAGCATTCGTCTGATTTCGTAATATATCATATATATATATATAGCATCATTGGTTAGGGTTGAGTTGCACAGTTTGTCCACAAGTAGCACAGTATCCTTTTTTTCTTCAGCGTTCCGAGCCCTTGAGGTTCATTGCTGCAGATATCACCCGCCTCCATTTATCTCTCTGGTTGGCCTTCTTTTTCCAGTTAGTGTCACCAAGTGTTTGCAGGTCTGTCTGGACATTATCTCTCCATCGTCTTCTTGGTCTGCCTCGTGGTCTACGACAATTCATCCCCCTTGTGTATACAGTTTTTACTTCTCTGTCATCTGCCATTCTCTCAATATGTCCAAACCATTTCAGTCTATTAGCTCTCTCATGATGCCTGTGATCAACGGTGATTTAAACAGATTATGAATCTCGTTGTTGCTTCCCACTCTCCGTTCCTAGAAGCTTGCATCTTTGATGGGTGCAAAGATAGTAGGGTAGAGAACAAAGCGTAGAGAACAAAGAGAGACACCCTGGTCCTCCAGGTTGGTGGTTGAAGCGTGGGGCCGACACCCCGACCTTAGTAAAACTTCATCTCGTCATGAAACAGATATCTAAGCCTCGATTTCGGATGGATTTAAACGTTAGCACAGTATGGCGCACATTATATCAGCATACAATTGTGTAGTCGAAATAAACCACATAAGGAAACAACTTGATGTCACATGATGTCTTTGGACTTTCCAACAATTTTACATTAAGTATTTTGTTATTGCTGCATGTACGTTTGCATCACGCTACTATTGTCCAAATCACCGCAAGGCGACCTGTTACCAAATCGCCTGCAGCTGGAAACGAACCGTGTATTTCAGAATTACGAAGTTCATTCGCAACGCCTAAGCCACAGACG